GTGGATTGTAGACTTTCGACTCATTAATTCACATATCAATCACCAAATAGCTGATTAGAAATATCCAAATTTCAAACTCAGAATTTATCAATCTGAAGAGCTTAAGGCATAATATTGTCTTAAATATACGTAGTCATTCACAAAACATCAGCCCACAAAACATCAAACCATAGTCTAGATAACAAAAGAAATACGATAGTTAATACCAACTTCTTTGGATCATATTATTTCTTCAGATCTCCATGTCTCTCTCAAGCGTCGTTTGCCCCATTGTTCTTTAAGTCTTTGTCCTTGAGAAACATCAAGACCCCAACGTCAGACTTCAGCTTTGCTAGATCTTGCTTCATAGCCTCTGTTGGTAGCCAATCTCGAACAAAACAGTTCAGAGGAGTGTTTCAGGCTACTTCAACCGTACCAGCTACAGCAACCACATCAACAATACGATCAAAGGAGCGGTTAGTTGTCCCTCTGATGAAATCTGGGTATGCCTCCTTCTTAAAAAACTTGCGACACATGATTCTGAGCTGATTTTTCTAGGGTTCTAATTCAGATATTGGGGGTTGATAATTAATGTACTTTATAAAGAGAAATTTTAAAAACAAGCGTTTGCGAACGTTGATAAGCAATATAGAGATATCCAAATAGTCTTGGAAGGCAAAGATAATTTTGTGAAAAATAATCTAAGTGTCATCGTCTTTCATCTCAAAAGCTCTTTCATTGTTATCTAACCTCAAAGAGCTTCGTCAAACCCACACACAAAATTAACAAACTTCAAATTCTACTCAATGCTTCCTACATTTTGATTCAATAGCATTCCACCTCTCTCAATCTTTCATTTAATTTAAGTGTTGATCCTTTTGGTTATTTTTAAGGTAATTACGGAAGCTACTAGTGTTAAAGTCTCGTTTATACAAAACTCAATAAACCAAAGGCAACAAATTTAAGCTAGTCTTCCATCAAAACTAATTCAGTCAGCATTTGTTGTTTTTCTTCCAACTTAGTCTATACAATACATTTTATCTTTTGGAAAATTTGCATTATGTAGATGGTTACATTTTCAATGCATGTACTTTTCTTATGCGCTTATCACGCACATAAAATTTGAGACTCGAAATCTAACTTCCATAACAGTTGGATCAGCTACCAATGGCATAATGGATTATTTGCGTGAAAGTGGGTTGCATGCTCTTCAGGTATGTTGCAATTCACATTGAGTGTTTAATTTTGTTTTTCTCTAATTCATTTCGTATAGGTTCCTAAATGTATAACTTGATTGTAGGAACTTGTTATCACTCCATCTTTAATATGCCAAACCACAAAAGTTTTTGTCAATGGAGATTGAGTTGGAGTTCATCCAGACTGTCTAGCCAAATTAGCTAGAGCTATGAGACAGGCGTTGAAAATGGTTATAAGAAATTGCTTTCACCACTCAGAATATTTTGATTAATAAAAACCATATTAAAGGGGAAGTGACATTTTGTTTTCTCGTGCAAGATATTGATGACAGGTACATTGGCATTGTTACAGACTCCAGTTTGAAGGAGGTTCGTGTAAACACTGACTACGGTCGCTGTACTCGACTGTTGTTCACTGTTGAAAAACAAAAACTTCAAATCACAGAAAAGGTAGAAACTATAAAGAAAATGGTGAGTATGTAATTTAGCTTTCAAAGTCATATGTATTTGACTTTTCTCTATCATACTAACTTTTTCTTTCACAACCTAGAAAAGCGGTTGTTGGCTCCACTTGATTGGAAAAGGCGTGGTAGAGTACATAGATGCATAAGAAGAGGAGACAGCCATGATTTCCATATCCATCAAGGTAGCTAAACTAATATGATGCTAAAATGATTGTGTTCCAAACCATTGTAGAAAACTCATTGGGAGGTTATTTATTGTAGAATCTTGCTAAAGAAAGGGCTTATTGCAACACTTACACACACTGCGAGATACACCCATCGTTGATATTGGGTGTATCTGCTTCCATTATTCCTTTTTCGAATCACAACCAGGTATGTCTTTTTAAT